AGTTCCTTTAAAGTATCCCATCTGACCTCTCCTTGGAGAGTCAGCCTGGGGATCCTTTCCTTTGTGCTGCCCCCTGGGGTTGGGGCATAAGCCCCAAGAAAGTTTGCCTGTGCTTTTATATTTGGGGTCGAGTCCCGTCTCTACCATTGCTGGGTCCAAGGACCCGAGTCTGGTAACTGATAGGCTTGCTCATATCTCTTTCTGTTCTGCTAAGACAGTTACTGTGATACTGTTCACCTTCCAAATTCTAAAAGTGATATTTCTATTCTATATTGCCCTATAAACCATAGAATCGATCTGTTCTGAAACTCTTCCTGGTACTCCGAATCACACGCCTGAGCATTTAAGTCACGGCCCACTGTCTTCTCTGCACGAAGAATTCATTTATCCCTTTCTTACCCTTTGAAATCAGGCCGATCACTGTGATAGCAAATCTCAAGGGATTTACAAAATTAAAAATTGTTTTCCTCTTTCTCTGTGATCTTGTAACGTATACGTTACTGCATTATTGCCTCTCATGTGCTATTATAACACTTTTTTTTTCAAAGTTCCATCTATATTATGATTCGGGTTGTCTTCAGAGCCGTGTTTGAAATTCCTTGCAACATTATGTCTGAAATGACTGAATCTTCATCAGTGCAGAATTTTGTGTGTAATTTCATTCTTCTGCATTTTGTCTGTTACTTTGTTACCTCAATACCACGTTTGTTCTGATTCTAACTATTTTAAAAACAGTCTAAGTGAGGGAGTTTACATCTTTCTATTTTGTTTAGTAAATGATCAGTATGCCTTTTCTGTGGAAAAGTCAGTGAAGCAAAGAGAAAGATTTCATATCATTCCACACTTTTTCCTAGGGAAATTACATGTTATTTTATTCTATTATAAAGTGCTGTGCTTTTCTGTCTTTATGTTATTAATATAAAAAATGACCACAGCTGAAAATCTCTGGCTATGATTTATTTATAGCATAATATTCAATTCACAATTAAATGCTAACCTGTAATTGAATCCAAGGATTCATTCTGCTGATACACTGAATAAAAGAACATAAGTGGTGCATAAATAGGAACAGAACAGAGATTAATAACCACCAATATTTATTATGAGATGATTCATTATGAATAATTTGAATGAAATGATTAGCATGATAAAAGCAACTCTTTAAAAAGGATGCAAGATATTTAAGAAAGATTTCCATCTTGCTGTGGTAGACAAAGTATTGTATTCTGTAATTGTAGGAGAAAGAAATCTTGAAAGGTAATACGGACATACTTTTAAAATATTATGAAGCTTATTTCTAGATCATTTAAGTTGTAATATCCATTAAGATGTTAATATAGTCCTGCCAGTAAGTTTGTTTATAAAAAAGAAGCAAAATATCCAATTAAAATTCACCCTGAGTCAACAACTGAAATAATGACATGAAGGTAAGGAAGGAACGTCCTCCTTCAATTCTATTGATTTCTGCCTTCATCTTTACATCTGAAGAGGCATAAAATGCTCCAGAGCATCTTTTCTCAAGTCATTCTTCCATTCTTTTTCTTCTCAACTTGACCTTTATAAGCTCATAATAAAATAAGCATGAGAAGGAAGAAATACTAAGGGACTTAATTGGTGGAAACAGGAACACAATGGATTTAGACTTTCCAGGACTTTGGGAATTGTAGCAAAAATATACACAATATACACCGTGTATAAGGATTTGAAATAATTAAAATAGAATTAAAAACAAGCACACAAAAGAGTGACGACCAAGATGCCCAGGCAGATTTGAAAAAATAACAAATGAGAATCCTAAAAATGAACAACATAATTATTAAAATTATTTTATTTTTTTGGAGATTTTATTTATTTGAGAGGACAGACAGAGATCATGAGTGGGGGTCAGGGGTGGGCAGAGGGAGAGGGATAAGCAGATTTCCCACTGAGCAGAGGGGGGGAGTTACCCCTAGTTATTAAAATTAAATGCTCAATGGAGGCATTAAATAAGTAATTAGAGACCAAAAAGGAACCTGGGCCTGTAGATCTGAGTAACTAAACAGAGTGAGGCACAGGGAGACGGAGAAATAGAAACTCAGGAGGAGAGGCTAAGAGATATGGAGGGTAAGGGAATGAAAGAAACACTATGTATTTCTTTTTTATTTTAATTTTATTTTATTATGTTGTTAGTCACCATAGAGTACATCATTAGTTTTTGATGTAGTGATCCACGATTCATTGTTTGGGTATAACACCCAGTGCTCCATGCAGTATGTGTCCTCCTTAACACCCATCACCAGGCTAACCCATCCCCCCACCCCGCTCCCCTCTAGAACCCTCTAGAACCCTCAGTTTGTTTTTCATAGTCCATCATCTCTCGTGGTTCGTCTCCCCCTCCGATTTCCCCCCCTACATTTGTTTCTTCCGAGTTTCAGAAAAGGGCCATAGAGGAAATGGGGAGCGGTAATAGGAGAAGAAGCAATGCTGAGAAATTTCCAGAACTGACAAAATTGTCATTCTGCTGGCGCACCAATCACAGTGTATGTAACAAGGTACATGGCATGAATGTGTGCCTAGGGCATTCCAGTGCCAGATGGAAGACAAAGCGTTCTTTACAGCAGTGAGGGAACGGGAATCATCTTTAAAGGAAGGACAACAGACTGACAGGAGATTCTTGGAGGAAATAAAGTAACATGGGAGAAAAATGTTAGCTCGTATCTATCTCCTTATCTAGGGAATAACAACTGGGCTAAATAGTAAAATAACTTTTGTTTCATTTTTCTTTTAGAAGAATATAGGAACCATTTCTACAGAAATAAACAAACATCCAAAGTACTTTTTGGAAGACCAAAGGAAAAAAAAAAAAAAGACTGCCTTCATTCTTGATATTATCTTGATATCCACTATGTTTATCTGCCAATTCTGAAACTACAGGAATTTAGATGTCCCACTTATAATTGACTTATGAACAGGTATCTTTCCGTAGAAAACAAATGGTGCTTTGTTTTAAGAAAATAATATCAGATTTACCAAATTTCATATTCAGGAAGTATTATAGTTCCAAAATTTAAGCTCTCTCATGAATCAGTCACCTGGAGCAATATGAATATAATTAGAGAAGCACCCTCAGCAGTAAAGGGCCAGTCTCTGCCCCTGGGAACTCACCTCCCCTTCTGTAGACTGCAGATGGAGCTCCTTCCTGCAGGTGGCCTTGAAGTCTCCTGCAGCAGCACTCACCTGGACCCCTCGAGGAGCTTCCATTATCAAGGACCTGGTGGGTGATTCAAGCCTAAGAGCAAAACAAAAGACTCCTTCACAGTAAAAAGAAAAACAAATTATGATGGACTAAAAGATAACATTAGTAACTAAAACAAACGAACAGGTAGGCATAAATAAAAATCCTTTCCATTTCAGAAGCCAAAATGAGTGTTAGAATCATTTTTGATTGTCTTATCTATTTTTTGGCTCTTTATGAAACTCTTCATTTGCTAACATCAATTATTTACTCTCATTTGTTTAATGATTTGATAAGAGTTTCTTATGCTGTTTCCTTTCACAATGCACATGAAAAGTAGGTCTTTATAAGTTTACTTGTTTAAATCTTTTATATATTTTCAAAATTAATGATGGAGTTTTAATAAATATATTTGTACCAACTTAGCATGTAACTATCCCTCAATAAAGAGTCTTGCAAAGAAGAGAGAGGTTTAATGAAAATCGTTAATATTATGAACTTTCAAGCATTCCACAGTCAAAATTTTGTAGACCTGAAAATTTTCAAACTACTCATTATACTTTTAGAAATTAATTAAAATGCAGGAAGAAGCCCTTTCCTACATCTTCCTACAGGAAGAGCTGACCTCTACTGGCCCAGGAAAATGTCCACAGAATGAATGACATTAGCCTGAAAGAGAGCAAGTAAATGAGGGGTGATAACACCAGCTCAAGTATGATTAAAGATTGACTGCATAAATTATGAGGGAAAAAAAAAACAACTGTTTTAGACAGTTGTGCCTGCAGAATAGCTAGTTGGGAGGCAGTTTCAAAATTACCTTTAATTATAAAACTAGAGAAAAGGGCAAAAGAAGGCAGAACATGGAAACTAGAATACAGTGGTAAAAAACTTTAGTCACTCTGTATTTCATGTATTTTTCACTAAAGCTTTAAGTCTGCTAAATTACTCCTGAAAGATTCAATCTAAAGAGAAATTTTGTGGTGTATAGTTTATTTAAAAGAGTGATGCATTTCTTTGAATAAAATTAATTGTAAAAAGGAAAAAAAAAAAACACAAGTGTGAGCAGAGGGACTATCCCCAAGTTGGTCTTTTTGGATAAACACTGTTCTGGGCAGTGACTGTGTGTGGTTCCCTTGCCCACACAACTTTAAGACAAGAGTCCCCTCAGGCTCACATCTCACATTCACCATCATCCAGAGCAACTGGTTTCCTCTGAGGCAACAGATCCATAGCTGTTTTGCAGGAAAACTACATCAAATAGTTTGAACTCTGAAGATCAGCTCTCTCTCAGTAGTGAAGTTGAACGTAAAGACTTTAAAGTGATATTGAAGGAGTACAGCTAGCATTTAGAAGAAGTAAATTTGACACTTTCAATTTTTTTTTTCACCCACCAAAGCAACTTTGAAACTTTCATCTCTATGGGCCTCTTGGGACATCTTTATAAAATCCCTGGAGGGGTCAGATTTTGAATATATGTGTATGTGTGTGTATATATATATATATATATATATATATGCATTTTTTAAAAGAAATGTTTGTATTTTTTTAGAAAAAATCACATTTTTACACAGCATTTAAAAAGTTGAAAATAAGATAATTATATTTTTCACTCATAATCCTCACACTTTGCACATAGAATCTACATTTCTATTAAACTGTGTATTTTATAATTGATTTCTCCTAATACATCCCCAAATATATGCCATCTTGAGTAGTATATCTGTGACCACTACTATTTTCATTGGTTAATTATCCATAACATTAAATGTAATTATATAAGTTTGGATATGATGAACCATTCAAACAGAAGTCAGGTACGTAATTAAAATGAATTATTCTAAAACAGATTATGAATCTGACATTCAAGCAAACACAACTCAGTGAACTTGTAAGTGGCAGAAAAAGCACCCTTATTTTATCAAATAATTGATATGGTTTAGTTTGTTTCCAGGGATAAAGGTTGAGGTTCTTACATATTTGATAGTAAGATATCCGTATTAAATGTGCTCATGTTTTTGTATCATATTTCTACTGTGTTTGACACTTGGTACTAGAGCATTAAAATATGTTAAGTCTTTATGGGCTTTTGAGTTTTTCCATTTTCATCTTTATTAATTACTTAATCAGAAAATGTTTATTATATTCATCTTCATTTTAGACCTCAGGTATCCATCGCCAGCATAGCCATAGACTATTCAAACAGGCAATAAAGACTGAGAGATGGGTTCAAGAATGTTAGCCAGCAGCAATAAGACTCAATTTCAACATCTCTAAATTGAAAATTATAATATTTTCTTATGGGGCCATAAGATATGTCTTGGGGGAATTAAGAGAGATAAATATGTGGTGGGGTAGTATTTTGAGATACTGATGGGATTTCCTTCCCTGTCCCATTTCCTCGCAGTTCTGCCATTCACTACACCGTGTATTTTGCCACAAGCAGCAGAAGATGGAGCAGAGAAGTTGATAAAGAACTTTTAAGTTTCCTAATCTAATAGACATTTTGAGTTGAAGAAAACCTAGCCGTTTAGTGTGTTGAAAATGATTCACCACATGGAAAAAAACATCAGAAGAAAACCAAAGTCAGTGAGAGCTTGTTGTATATTTCCACCTGTTGGAGAACTGTTTTCTTGATTCACAGGATAAAGATTTGGGTGGGAAATCAACAGAATTGGTTTCAAATTGTTCTCTGTGTTCGGCTACCTGAAGCGAAGTCCTACGATGTGGGGCCTTTATTCTTAGGTGTTAGAGGTTTGAGGAGAGTAGTGATGTCTCAGGATGACTGAGGACAAGAGATCATGAGTCATGGGTCATGAGGCTCTCAATGACCAAATGTCACCCCAAAAACTTTGGCACAGTGTAAACCCCTTGGTACAGTGATGCAACCCCAGGGAAAAAGAAGAGAACTGAATAGACAGGCTGAATTCCTGATACCAGGGCACTGGAGGCTGAACATGTATATACATATATACATATATACTTAATAATTTATATAATTTATATGTATGTAAAACTGCTCAGAGGACATAAAAACATTCAAAAAGTGGTAGCAATTTTATAGTATTGCTAAATCCTTCAAGTTATGAAGCAATTAAGACTGAATTAAACAGGTTTCAACTGTATGCTTTGTTAATCTTGATAAAACTAAGTGTGGTAATAATTAAGATATAATATAAACCTTATTTCCGCAACTATATGGTCAATTAA